TCGGAAATATTTGAAAAACCACTATTAACTAACTGAAGAGAACAAGAAAAAAGAAAAAAAGTTACCATATCACAAATTAATTTTGTTTGACTTTATAAACGATTAATTACATATTCCTTAAAGTATATTTAATCTATACTTGATTGATTTCATGAATTATCTTATCTATCGAAAGCTCACAATCAGAAAATTATGTTATCTGTGGTAAAACTTTCTTATTTATTATTAATCTTAAAAAAATCATCCTGTACGTGGTTACAAATAATTCTTAATAGCAATCATAAAAGCAAATTAATATGTTATTACTATGAATACTCGTTCATCCATCACTGATCTGGACAAATACAAAAGGTATTGTGTTCGATTCCCGGCGTGCACGCATTAATCTCGATTGAGTAAGACGTCATTGAGACATGTTCGAATGATGTAATTGCCAGTATAGTTGGTAATTAATATATTTTGTTAAGTAATTGTCTTTTTTGAGGCGTTTTTGTTGCAATTCAAGACTCTTTTATCTTATTAATATGTATTATAAATGCGAAAGTTTGTAAGTATGAATGGTTGTTACTCTTTCACGCAAAACTACTGAACGGATTTTCATGAAACTTTACAGTAATATAGCCTATGTATCAGAATAACAAGTAGGCTATATTTTATATTGAAATTTAACGCGGGTGAAACCGCGAGGCACAGCTAGTTTTTAATAAAATTTTGAATGGATTCCAAACTTTACAATATATTTCTATATATTTTTCTAACTATTCACACAGCGCCATCTAGGCCCAATCTAAGCAGTACTTGTGTTATAGGAACTAGACAACTGATATAAATACATAGATACAGTTTATTTGTAAACACATATATTGAAAACCTGGGTGTTTTAGCTATACAAAAAATCATACCCATGAATACAAATCTTTGTATTTGCGTGGAATTAAACCTAACCAACAATTGATACCATCGGAAATAAGGTGGTGCTAAACCGCTAAACCATCAAGATATATGTATTTACAAACAAAATATCTACATATATCTATCAGCTATCTAGTACTCATTACACAAGCTAGCTTGGTACTAGATGGCACTGTGTGAATTGTCCAGAGCTATTATTATTATTCATTATATCAGTAACACAGTTCTAAATGTATATAGACTTACTGTTCAGCTTGCCACATGCCTCTAGATTCAATTATCGATTGAGACAAAACATTTACAGTCTTATCAATTGAGTTATTATTAGAGTAGTACTAAAAAGGTTGGTGGTCTAATAAAGTTTTGATACAATATGCCTTTGCTCCACTACTCTTCCGACCTTAGTTGGGGTCGGCTCTCCTTCATCCCCAGAGGCTCCTTGCCTGAATCGTCATTAAGTATACATTATGACAGATAGATCTTTTTTGATGGCGGCTATCCATGTAGGTCGAACTTTTTTTTTTCTTCTTCGCTTCTCTAGGAGAGCCGATACCAACTAAGATGTAGTTGGGGTCGGTTCTCCTAATCATTCGTCTCCAGAGGCTGTTGTCTGGCTCGTCTTTAAGTCTATATTGTCACGTGATAGATCTTTTTTATGTAAGTTGAGGTCTTCCATGTTTCTTTTGTTCCGGACATTTAATCTGGACTCAGCTACCTGAAGAGATACCTGAAGAGGTGTTACTTTAAACTTTCCACACATGTAATAGTTCGGCACCTTGTCTTTTTTTATTTAATTTTTTTATTGTGAATTGAAGGATATTCTTAGAAGCGATGATTTTTATCTCATTAGGATCGAATGTAAATTTTCCAAAGGAGATATTACGTTTATGCATGAGTGCATCTTGTCTTATTATATAGTATACATATATCTTATATTAATGCCTTTGCTCCGAATTATAAAAAAACCACTTCTGTATTCGATATTTAAATAGTGTTAACAATAATTTGCAATATTTAAAACATGAAATAACCAGTAGCTAATATAATAACCGGGCATGCGTTACATTAGAAACAAAATATTTTGTAAATACGTGTAATAATAGATTCATCGATTAATTTTGAAGGTTTTGTTCGCATATGCAAGCCCGCATAACAACACAAATTTTGAATCAACTTCGCAAACTTTCCTTTTTTAGAACGATTACAAATTGTGACACAGACCTAGTGTTAATGTTACTGAAATATTATAAAGGCGAAAGTTTGTTAGTATGGATGAATGTTTGTTCTTTCAGGCAAAAACTGCTGAACGGATTATCATGAAACTTTACAATAATGTATACATCAACATATAGGCTGTAATTTAAAAAGATATTATTATAATTTACTTAAGTAAATTGGGCGAAATATATAATTGTAAAGTAATGCAGACGAAGTAGCACGTAGTTAGTTGTTTATAAACTTTTCTATTACCAAACATTCGTAAACAGATAAAAATGTGAAATTGCAAGTTATTGCAGAAATATTACAAGTAATTTACCATACTGTTAGTTGGTACTGATTCGATATAAATCGTATCGAGTACTCGATAGCTTGCGTCACTGTAATCGATACTTACGATCGGCATATTATTGTTACCATTGTTTTATAATGCATAAGCAGTTACCCTGACTTCTTCTGTATTAAAAAATAACTTTTTATTTCAAAAACACAGAAGAACTCAAGTCTTATATATATGTCCTTGTAATACAGTCTATCTTCATATCAAATTATATTAAGATACGTCCAGAGTCCAGACGTTTATTCCTTAAGAGGTAACAAACAGACAGGCACACTTTTGTTTTTATAATTCTAGAAGGATTTTGTAAAATTATTTCGTTGATATTTATTGAAGGACTTTAGTCATTTTTTAAGTTTTTTGATTAGAAGGTTAAAATATATTTATAGACTTTGTTCAAAGTCTACCAGTAAAAAAACTACATTTATGTCTTTTTGCGTATAATAGTAATATAGTTAATCAAAATTAAACATATTTTATAATTCAAAATATTCAGTTACAAGTATCTATATGTATACATAAATAAAACAGTGTAACGCATCGTTGTCTGTATATGAAAATTACAAACACAAATATTGGTGAATTATGTATATCGACATAATAGAATACCAAAAAGTCCGTCTATACGCGTTTGTGCGTGCTACTAATCTCAGAAACGGCCCAACCGATTTGGGTGCGGTTTTCATTAAACTATTTTGATAATCTTCACTAAAAATTAAAGTTTGTTTAAACAATCGTTAAATAAACAAAATTAATTCAAAACTATTGTTTTTACGAATACCAAGATACACAAGTATACAGGCACAGTTAAAAACTAGTAACTATGACACACAGAAAGAAAGTCGCGGTTTTAACTAGTTACAAGACTAAAAGTGGACACTATTAAATAAATATAACAGTAAACTTACTGTTACCACCCAAGTCGTTATACCGTTCCTCGAAGCATCACGACGGAAGCCATGACCACGTTTTCTATTAATTTTAAAGCTAATTAAACCTTGAATTTACTCAGTACATCATTAATGTACAGACTGATATATAATTCAGCGCTTTCTTATTACATCTAGTTTTATATCTATAGCAGTAATATATAAAATTATCTTTAAGTCGTATAGATAAGGTACACTTTTATTTTAATAAAATTATGTCAACCGCATGTAGGATGGTAACAGTTTTATGTACCCTGTTTTAAATTAATTTAATTTAACGACGCATAGATTCAAATTCAAAAATCATTTATTCATGTAGGATATTTTAGCCGCTTATGAACGTCAAAATTTTAGATATAGTTACAATAGTAGCTCTACACTTTCCCTTAACTTACTTTTTAACTACGGCCTCGGCGATCTAGAGGTTTGTACACCTAGTTGCGAGTTCGACTCCTCCTACGATACTATTTGTTTATGACTATAATTGTTCGAATTGGTCAGGTAGGAAGAGGGTAGAGTGGTTTCTATGAATATTACGTACATTAATTCACAAATAATATTTAAGAATTTCTAAACGCATCACCTACAGGTAGTAATTAAATAAAAGTAAATCAGTCGTAGTCATTAGAGCAGACCAAATCCAGTGCAAATATTGCTTATATGTTTTTGCACTCGATATAGTCATATAATTCTATACTCTTCAAATTTCTCATATTTCACACCATAGGAAATAATACTAATCTATACATATAAATAAAATTGAAATATCTGTTTGTAATATTGAAATAACCGTTTTTTACTACATGCATATGAATATAAATACGGTACATTAACCAAAAAATAATGTTTTACAATTTTGTCTGTCTGTCTGTTTGTTCCGGCTAATCTCTGAAATAGCGTGACCGATTTTGACCGGACTTCTTTTGTCAGGTAGCTGATGTAATAAGGAGTAACTTAGGCTACTTTTATTTTAGAAAAATAAAATTAAAATCCACGCGGACTAAGTCGCGTGTACAGCTAGTATATAATATATCCATTGCATCAACTTTTTGTGTTGAGACCCGATACATAATTACAGTTTTTTCGTTCTGTTTTTATATCTATTTTTTTTTTGTTTATACTGATATAAATTATCTACGGCCAATAGACAACATATTGAATTGTGGTTTGTCGAAATAAAATTATACTGACATATATTGTTATTACAAACCTAATCATGCCTACTTATCGCTATAACCTAAATGCTTCAACTATTGTTCTTAATTATACCAACCCTGATATGTCAGTCAATTTTTGTTCATTTCAATCAGATCACGATTTCATTATAAGGAAACAACAGTATCGATTTATTGATAAGAATATGAACGAATCGTGTGATCATTACAGGGCATCTCTATTTTCCAACGCAGTGAAAGCAATCACACTCAGTTTTTACTCTCAATGTGTTATCGGTAATCATTCTAAAATTATTACCTGTGTTCCAATTCTGATCGAATAGGTCAGCATCTATGACCACAAAATTAATGTATTAAATTGAAGGTTACCCGAAAGAAAGGTCAACAAAACAATTCCATAAAGCTGACCAGTTCATTCCTTTGTTACAGGTCCACACCGTACTGGTAACCTACATATAATAGTTGTACCAGATACCAGCGAAAATCAAGATCCAATCATTGAAAATTGGAACGAACGATGACTGATTAGACATAACTGGCCACACGCCGACTCATAGGCAGTTTAAAAAGAAAAAATAAAAAACATAATGTGGCGGGAAACGGCGCCGAGTTGATTCGATATTTGAAAATGTCAATGAGCGTCACTTAAGAAAAGAAAGATGGCGCACAAATTAAAGAATAATCATTATGTGGCTACGCACAGATCTGGCGTAGATTCGCCGTCGTCCGGAGGATTTTTGCCGAGAGCAGCGTCCAGAGACGAAAACGACAGCCACCGAGCTCCTTCCGAAAGAACATTATCTGAATATACGGTAAGTGTCAAATAAATATATATCAAATATACACACACTATACATAATACTAATCGACCATTGATTTTTTAAAATACGAAATACTAGGTACTATTAGAAAGTTGTTTCTTACATTTTTTATCTCAATAAAAATTTAAGCTAATGATTTACGTATGTATGTAAATCTTTAGTTTAAATTTTTATTTTTATTTAAACTAAACATTTACGTACATACATAAATCATTAGTTTAAATTTTTATTGAATAGTTCACATGATCTAAACCTTATTTTGCATCGACTATTTTAATATTGTAATTTTAAAATATTGACAATTGGTCCGTATTCTTCCTACTAGTAACATTGTAAATTTATTTATGTATGTCTGAATACAAAACTAATATACAAATAAAAATACAAAACGAAAAAAAATAGTTTAAGTGTTTGTAAGGGTTGTCTAGTACTCATAACACAAGCTCTGTTTGGCTTGGGACTACAATAGATGGCGCTGTATGTCAGGGTTATTATTATTCTAACAAAAGTAGCAAACATTAGTAGTTTTAAATAATAACAAGGCATAAACTACGCAGTCTAGAGTAACGACGCACATACCTCGTTGTGAAAACAGATGTCGATTTATTTCGGCCATACATCACTCGTTTCCTGTCCGTCTGTACACACCGATTAATATGGCAACAACAGTCATATCAGTTGGAATGCCAATTCCACTGTGAGCACTGATCGAAACAATTTGTTCATTTCCATAAATTGTTCACGTTATTGAGTGTAACCATAGTGTAACCATTCGTATAAAATTTGATTTTTTCTTGCCCCCTCCGATCGATACCCGTCCAATTCAAACGAGGATCGAAAGTACGACGGTCGGAGCCGAAATTAGAACCCCTAGTAATTTTATTTTCCGCTACGATTGTCTTGTCTGGGAGTAGAAATTACGCCGGCCTGAGCCGAGGTTCAAACTTCTAGCGGTGCCTTCAGACTAAAGTCATATTCGTCAGGCAGGAGTTGAATTTCAACCGTTCCACAAGTCCTTCCGCTCGACCCTTATCGTTCGAAAGCTGTAAAGGCCAGATGCGAACAACAGCATTGGAATAGTTCAATTAGTACCTTCCTCGCCTCGCCTCTACCTCGTCTTCACATTTTTTTAGTAATAGTAAAGACCTCAATTTTTTTTAAATAAAATAATACCAATACCGACTCTGAAGTGGCAATGGGCAGGGCACATAGCTCGTAGGACAGATGGCCGTTGGGGCAGTAAAGTCCTTGAGTGGCGACCACGGACCCGGAAGGACGCAGCGTGGGTAGGCCTCCAGCAAGGTGGACCGACGATCTGGTCAAGATCGCTGGAAGGTATTGGATGCGAGCAACGCAGGACCGATCGTCGTGGAGATCTTTGGGGGAGGCCTATGTCCAGCAGGGGACGTCTTCCGGACTGCGATGATGATGATGATGAATACCAATGTTACTCGCTACTATTTTTTTATTTGCAAGTTGATTACTTGATTAGGTAAACGATTACATGTTTAATCCATTCCAGATATAGCATCATCCCTTTTAATAAAAATTGTCATTCATCAATAAACTAATATCGAGTTTTGGGTAAATTCATATATCACTTTTTTTCTCAAACATGTCCAAATTTAATAAATTTTAACTATGTGTCGCATTAGGAATTCGGAAATATTTCTCGTTACTTACGTATACACATGTAAAATAAACATACGAAATCAGGATCTTACGCAAATACCACATGTCGCATTAATAATGAAATGCACTAACTAAAAATTTACAAACTTTGGTAAATCAACTTTAATCTCTTAACTTTAATAGTAGTCCATTTCCCAAAGTTTGTAATTTTTGAGTCAATGCAGTTCCTACACGTGTGCGGTATGCACTGAAATAGTATTGTTTGCTATTGACGCGTGTAACTCTGCCTGAATGGGTACAACATAATGTTCACAATCATAACAGTCTTTATTGCAAATTAAATGCCAATAAACGGATTATTGTTCGGCTAAAATCGTCGTATAACTAATGTGACCATAGTTTTTTGTCCCAGTGAGACTTTGTTTTTTATAATTGGAATAGCTCATAAGCTGATAGATCACATGATGGAAAGTGCCAACTAGATAGTTACTACCCTCGCCAATATATATATATATGAATGTTGCCATACCCAAGAGGTCATTCCTCCTACCCTTTAGTTTGAATGCCATATCTTCACTAACCCCCTCAATCCGGGGGGAAGGAGATTGTTAGTAATTTGGACTGTCGACCCTTCTATTGACAGTCTCGGTGGTCTAGTAGTTTAACACATCGCTTTACTATCCAATGGTCGCGGGTTCTATTCCTCGCATGGTACAAACAATTGTATACATCAGTGCTATTGCTTGTATTGTTCTGGGTTTTTTCTATCTATAATATGCATATATTTACAAAGAGGAAATTATGTATGTATTTATTATAGTGCATATAATTTTAATAAAGAATCTATTATGTTTATTGGTAGAGCAAAAAGCTATACATTTTTGCTCTGGGGACAATAGAACAAGGTCTGAAAGTGAGACTGTCCCGATTACACCAGAACGTGTGGTCATATTACATGTAACGGCCATCGAATCACACAACTCTGTATTTATACTGCTAGTGCTCAATTCTCAACGCCTAGTTATTTTCGCGATCTGAGAACTCGTTGCAGACACCCACTCTAACAGATCTGTTTTGATACCTGTCCCTAGCAAAAAGTATAGTGCTTACGTTAGAATAGAAATAATCTTTGTTCAAATAAACGTAATTTAAAACAATTTGGAATGGTTATATTTTATGATTCTGCTGCCGAATTCCAAATGCAGATACGACTGAAGTGAATTTATTAACTATTTACTTCATCGTTTCTGATTCAGTTCTGTTCCGTTCTGCATATACTGTACAACTATGTTTCTAAAAATAGTTATTGTATAATTATGATATAAACATAGAGAATTTATTGTAATATAAGAGAATTAATAATTACAAGAGGGTCCCCTCAGCTTCGCCCAAGTTCTAGTAACTTGTTAATATATCTTAATTGATTGGAAAATTAAAATAAATCGACTATTTCACCCTTGGATCTTTAAAATAATTAAAATAATAGTACTGTCCTCTACACTTCTTCCGCAGTTTGTTTTCTTTATAATAAAATGGTCTGTTCTTTATAATAAACTGCTTTGGGGGCGTCCATAAATTACGTAAGGTGTTTTTTAGGATTTTCTGTCCCTCCCTTCTCCCTCTGGTGAGATGTCGTGAGATTTTATTCAACCCCCTCCCCAATTCCCAATCTCAAGTGAGATTTTCAAAATGTGGGTTTCTTTTTATTTATGACTAGTTAAGACTAGTAATCAATATTGCTGAGAGTTATTGTAATGTACAATCTGAATTATATGGACCAAAATAGTATAATTTTTTTTGTTTCAATCAGAAAAAAAAATGCGTGATAATTGCCGAGACTCGCCCTCTCTCCAATGTAAGATTAGATGAGATTTGACTCGACCCCCTCCCTTAAACATCTCACGTAATTTATAGATGCCTCTTTTTCTCTTTATAATATAAGTAGGTAAGTATCGATGTAAAAAGGAAGATAATATTTATATTTAATGTAATATAAACATAACTACTTATTGGCAGCTTGCCTACAATTCTTTTTATAATTTTGTATATTATTTTGAAACCTCTTTTTTATGTCACCTTTTGACTTTGTAACAATATTGCAACCGTTAAGAAACTCAATCCTTTTTAAAAGGCAGTAACACACTTGCAATTCCGCTAGTGTTGCGGGTGCTCATGGGCGGCGGTAATCACTTACCATTAGATGATCCGCAATCTTGTTTGTCCCCTGTGCTATAAAGAAAATAAACATATAATTTTTCTGATTTTTTCTATAATATTATATTAATTCCGCTCCAGTCACAAAACCATGATATTGTAAATTATATTTAGATCATATTCTTTGTATATCTAAGCCAAAATTCAATAGAATTACATTGTTTTAGATATAATAGTAACAAACAGTCATCGTCAGTTACTATCAGAATAAATTTGCATTATCATAAAACATCCATGCAAATTCTTCCGGCATATGTTTGTATGTTACTGATATTTATCTATAGTAAATCTGTATAGAATCATAATAATAATAACCCAGAACAATTTATACAGACCCATCTAGTCCCAAGCTAAGCAGAGATTGTGTTATGGGTACTAGACAACTGATGAATACTAAAAAACACCCAGAGTAATGCAAACAATGATACTCATTAATACAAATCTTTGCACCGTGCGATAAATCGAACCTTTGACCATCGGTAGTAAAGCGATGTCACACTCTTTTACTCACTCTTCTTTCACTTAAATCATTCATATTCTAGAATTATCTGCATATCGAAAGAAAGTAGGTATTAGTAAATTGAGATTTCAATGGGATTGATTTATTTAAAGTAATCTAATTGGTATGCATCTATTGTCAACGCATTAAACTAATGAATGTAGGAAAGCCCCTTAAATATTTATCACTGAGGTGTAATTTAGCATAAAGACACCACATATATTCTTGAGAAATCGTGCGTTTTAAATACCCGACGGCGCCAACTGGCACCATGGCGTCAAGAATCTGCTCCTGCGAGAAAATGCATTGTGAATTTATATTGAAAATATATTTGTAATGGAAAATTCTAGAATAGGAATTGAACTTAGTACTCAAAAGCACTATGCCGCAATATAAATTATATATTAACAAATGGTAGAGAAATATACAAAAACCCTCATTTGCATAAATTACTAACTGGTGCTACATATATAAAGAAGAAAGAAACAAAGTAAATACGTTTATTTGATTCACAAAAATATACAACAAAAAGAATTTATAATTACAATTTAAATCATTATGGTACCTCACAACTCTGGCCTCCGCTCTCACGACTCTGGTATATAAATTATACATGAATTTTAATTTAAATAACATTCAAAAGAACTGAGAATAAACTCAATTTTTGTTGTATGTGTTACATATAATTACAAAAAATAAATTTTATGTGTTCATAAATTGCCTAGTACCTACTGTTCATACAATCAACCTATATAAGTTCGATTCCTCCCATGATGCAAACATTTGTAAGATATATTATATTTATGAGTGTACGTATTTACACTAAAAATGTATTTAAGTACAGTCAACCCTCCTATAACGCGGTACTCTCAGAACGCGGTTTCCATATAACGCGGAGCTGAAATTGCGACAGCCCTCCTATAACGCGGTACTCTTACAGCGCGGTTTCCGTTTAACAACGTCCCATCAGTTCTTTCCGTGCACCCAATGAATGGTTTTAACTGGATATGTTTATATCAGCGTGGTTCACGGGTGGGTGGTTCTCCTCATGCGCTATCTTCCACTTCTATTAACTAAATAGTTTCGCATCGACAGCGTGCCATGCGTGTGTGTGTCTAACGAAACTGTAACATGAAAGATATATATGTGATCTTTTGACTACATTGTCGCGTGAACTATAGAAAAACTACGTTCTGCTTATGTCTTAGCCGCTTAAAACCAATGTGAAGATCAACCAAGTGAGGAAGACATTTTGCCCATTAAAAGAAGGCGAGTTAGGCGACTCATATCTGACAGTGAGGATGAGTGTTGAAAGATTACATCATTTTACAAAAGTCTTTCTTTTGTTTTTGTTGGAAAACAGTTTTTTAGTTTAGTTTTTGTTTCATTTTTTTCATCATTTCCTTATTTTTATTGAATTGAAGAGTTCATACTCTTCAATTCAATAAAAATAATTTATAATTTATCTTGTCTTTTGTATTTATTGGTCTCCATATAACGCGGTACGAATGATGTGATTTGTACTTATTCTGAGTCTCTTATAGCGCGGTTTCCATACAACGCGGTAGACGGTTTCCATAGAACGCGCTACGAATTAGCCTGGTTTGTACGGTTAAATCCGAGTTTCTTATAGCGCGGTTTCCATACAACGCGGTACGCACTCACCGCGTTATAGGAGGGTTGACTGTATTTGTATCAGTTTTCTTGTAACCATAAAATAGGCTCTTCTTAACTTGGGGCTAGATGGCGCTGCGTGAATTGTCCAGGGATATTATGATATTACATTATCATAAGTAAGTCATCCATTATTTATTTATGTATTTATATTTCAGACAATGGACGAGAGAACCCGATCGCCTTCTGGTGAACACAGAAATGGTGAACACCGTAATGGTGATCACAGGAACGGCGACCATCGGAATGGTGACCACCGGAACGGTCGGCGGTCGCACCCCAACGGTTCACCACGCGCCGACTCTGGTTCCGATGTGTACGTGACCAGTGCTGCCTACCGTCCACCATCTGAAATGAGGTAGATTTTTATATTTATTTACATCACTAAATGAGCTTTAAAGTTTCCCCTTATTTCCACTTAGGAAGAAAACACAATTCTGTGTTTCAAGGGTCCATAAACTACAGTAATCGTTTACCATCAGATGGGCCGTATTCTTGTTTGCCACCTACGTAGTATAAAAAATAAAAAATAATAAACAATTTACCAAGGGATTTTGAGCAAAGACCACTTGGGTACCTCTTTCTCACCAATTTTATCCCCTCTCCACACACAACGTGCTACTATAAAAAAAATTACAATAACTTATTAAACTCGATGAAATTTTGTACATAGGATAAGCAACTAATCACACTAGTCAGATTTTCTTTAGTTGGTTTTAGAATAACACGTAACTGAAACACTATATTTTCACAGATAAATGACTTAAATTTTGTTAATTCGTATGAACAATCCGAGACAGTATAAATAGTAAAAAAAAATGGAACATATATGAGTTTTCAGAATAACGAAAAAAAATACTTTATATTTACTGTAATAATAAAGTAAACCGAATAGAGCGAAACGTAAATATTTACGATAGAATTTCGATTGAAAGTATTGATTGGGCGAGAGAAGACTAGAAGCAAAGTCTCTGAATAGAAACAGAACGAATACTGAAGAATACTTACATCGTTCTTTCGTTGCGTAGACACTCCTCTTATATCCCGTGGTAACTGAACTCATAAAAAAATCAGTGGACGGTCGTGGTACTTCTCAAAACAACAAAAAGTCCGTGGAATCCTGTAATCCTAATATCATAAATTGTAAAATGTGAGTTCGTTTGTATATTAAATCAAATCAAATCAGTTATGAACTTATTTTTTTTTTGTATTAGATTTTTTTCCTACCGTCCCGTACAGTATACAAATTCAATTACGAGAAGAACTGGCAAGAAACTCAAATAAATCTCTTTTTGGTTTTCTAAAAAGTCATTTTATTTACATTATTTACTTATATAGGTATCTATGTCTAACATTAAATGAAAATCCCGTGTATGAATAACTATTGCCATGCACGCTCGTCATTGTTCTTACCACATAAAACAGAAATGCATATAACGTTGCAAACGTCCTATAAAGTATTGTTATACCATATGCTGCTGCTTCTATATGTATCATGTATATATTCATTTATATGTTGTATGTTTGTCCATGGGGTTATTATATGTGTATAATTAAAGAAAGTGAAAAAAAAATTAAACAGTGAGTGAGAATTATTATCTCACAGACAAAGTAAAGGGCTGAAAATTAATAATCATCGTAAGAACCAGTTAATTTTACCTATTGAGAGCAACAACCGCGAATCCCTAAAAAGTTTTATTAGCAGCACCTAGCAGTACCTATATTTATTTCTGTACTATTTAATTCGTTGCTACGTATCATTTATTTATAACGGTTTGTTTTATTGCTTTGATTTACGTTATAATAAAACAAAAATACTTCGCTTTGATACTGATATCTTTACAGAAATATTTATATATATATATATTTTTTTAGTGTTCACGTGTTATTTTCTATCTTCCAACTTCTGTCTAAATATATTTCATACTAGCTTTTACCTGCGACTTCGTATGTGTGAACTTTCATACCCTGTTTCACCCCTCATAATTTATTTTATGGTATCAATGTTAGCCTATGTGGACATAGGCTAGGCGAGAATGGCCTCATATAATCTATCTTCATATCAAATTCCTTTTAGATTCGTTCAACCGTTTAGTATTGAAAAGGAAAAAAACATACAGACAACTGTTTGTTTGTTACCTTTTCAGATTTTCACATTATATTAGAAGATATTTCACATCAAGTTAACACAATCCGAATATTCTGCAATTACATTGATTATATTACGAAAACATGATTCTAACATGATTTAGTCCTTCAAAATAGATACAAGATCTCTTCTTGTACCACCAGCTTCTGTTCTGTTCATGTACGTACATAAGCGATAATTACTTAAATAGTAATTAGGACTTAAATAGCATTAATATTAAATACATCAGGGGTTATTCATAAAAAAAAAATGAAGTAAATGAGAATATTTTATCAGAACTAATATTTCTTCTCAGTTCTTCTTATCTCGAAAGCACTAACGGTAATTTTGACATATCATAAGAGTCTGTAATAGACCTTATGAATAAAGATACTTTGATTTGATTTGATTCGATTTGATATGATTTAATATACATCTTGTCACTTCTTCTTATGTTGAAAGCAAACTGACGATAGATTTGGCATATTCTGTAATAGACCTTAATGAATAAAGATATTTTGATTTGATTTGATATGATTTAATATACACAAAATGGCCACCATCTAAACATGCATCTTGGGGAGGGCACCGTTACACGTTCATCCCGCTAAATCCTGTACGATTTCACTAATTCAGACAACGGATCTCGAAACGTGTCGAATTACAAGCCGCCATGCGTACATGATAGGAATAGACGGGCGTTCGAAACGCAGCGTTTTTTTACACTACCAGAAATATATAATCATGGTAATATACTATAGTGGTAGTAAGATATGATTTTTTTATTTTAGTTTGTAATGGATATTACTTGTAAAAGATTCTACAAGAACTTTAATAACTTTTTCAGCAATAGAAAACCTCAATATGAAGATCAAAAGCTCAAACAAGCTCAATTTAAGGCTGAAATCTGAATTCAAAACCAATATTTTTCGATCGGTTTTCTCAGACCCTAACTCATTTTGATCGTTTTATTTTTATTCAAAATAACTTTCCGTCGATTCGTATTCATATTTTCTAGATTGAAATAGCTTGAAAAATGTTATCGTTGTAAATATCCCGTTTATGTAATGTGTACATTTTTTGGTTGTAGTTTATTTTTTGCAGAAGAAAACCTTCAAATGATTTCATTTCATTTGTAATAAATGCAACGTTCCATTTTCTCGGACTACTCTAATACTGTTGGCCGCAGCTGGCCTTTACAGCTTCACCGGACGATAGGGGGGAATGCAGATGGCTCACCAAACCCACAGAAGTACTTATGGAGCGGCTGAAGGCCTCCTCTCGCCTGACGTATACGACTTTAGTCTGAAGGCACCGCTAGGGGTTCAAACCTCGGCTCACCGTCCGTCGTAATTTCGATCTTCGTTTGAATTGAACGGGCGATCGATCGGAGGGAAGCGCAACGTGCCAATCGCCCGTCTGTACGTACCACGGACACAAACAAAACCTTCTCATTAAACGGCTAGATTGATGGCAAATTGCCCATACTGAGTGCAATCGTTGCAGCACATGACTCATCGTGAATGCATATTGAAGTCATCGCGAATCATGTTTGATTGTATGTTTACAGCTCATATTGTCAGATGCGCTATTATTATAACGGGGTTTACGCTCTTTTCCATCAATGTTTAGCATTTATCTCTGCACCTAAACGGTTCTGTTCAAGTATGTAGGTTAAGTAGTGTTGTATTTTATTTTATTGATTTCCTACACCTAACCTGATGGTGACATAGAGAAATAAACTTGAACATTCCACGCAACGCCATCTGGTCGCAATCCATGCAAGCTTATATACACGACTAGATAGTAGTTTTATTTTTTTTATTGAGGGGTTTGGGCTATTGTCTGGTGCTAACACCTGTAACACTGCGACCTGTAGACAGTAGTACAATATTCACAAAAAATATAATTAAGAATGTCTGTCAGTTACTAGAAGATTCTTTTATAATTACCTATTTATTTAAAAATACGAAGCCATGTATTAGCCGGCTATTGCCGGACCAGAGACCATCGGAAGACGTTCAACTGTTAAAAATGAATGTTAGTTGGATTAAAGCATGTAGATTTAAATTCCATGAATTCATTCATTCATTTCAATTAATGAAATCATTTAGTTACTTTTATAACTGTAATTATGTGTGATTTGTAATAATCCAAATAAACGTTTTATCTGTCTATCTATTCTTTGAAAAAGATCGTCATCATCAGTTTTAGTCGAAATGTATTATAACTTTATAATTTTATTATGGAGTAAGATAACTTTTGAACCAATTCTATTTAAACAAGCGACTAACCATCTTAAAATCTAAACCAACAGTTATCACTTCTTGCTTATTGCAACTTGTTATTGACTTTGCGACATATAAGCATTAAATGATTTATTATAATCGGTTATTTTATTATTTTATATCTTCCTCCTTCAACATTTTATATCTTTTTACTCTGTAACATACATGTTTACATTGACAATTTACTTGTTTTGTAACAAAACATGACATATTACGGAAGTTGGAAAATAAAATGTATTACAATAAATTATTATTGTACGTATTGTTAATTATGTCATGTTTTATAATCATTTTACTTGTTAATAAAATTGTGTATTAAAAATTTACCATTAGCAAACAGCAATCGCCATAATTATAATAAAGTTGGTTTAATGTTAGGAATAGTAATAAATATAGCCCCGCCTCCTCCATAGAGGCTTTACAATCAACAAAGGTTTCCGTTAAATAATATTACTTAATGACAAAAATGTTATTTTCATTTAAACTTAAAAAAAGAAATACTTCAGGACTGAAGCTATACAAATATCTCTACAATTTGGTCTTCGCTTATATAAAAACATTGTTATTTACTATTTGTTATCAATTCAACGCAAATTTGAGTTGATTACAATTCGGTTTTAGAATATCTCTACTTCTTCTGTCGTTTCAACGGCAACTAAATATCTCTACTAATAATATATTTTATCAATAATCATTATTACTCCCACATACGGACAAATCTCCGAGAATTTACAAGATTCTACACGACTCTGACAAGCACATACTTCAATACCTCGCGCAAAACATCCCACAAAATCGTGTTTACAAAACTATCTCGAGTCTTGATTATATTGGGTAACTTGAAACTTTACAATACAACTTAACAACAAAAGATTTACAACAAAACTTACCACAAACGTAGATACAACTTTAAAAGCACACGCAATAATTCAACTGGCTCTG